ATAGGTATGGTGTTGAGGCGGGTACTGATAATGCTGAGGTGGAGGGGGTGGGTGATGCTGTTGTGGTGTTGTCGGAAACTGGGGGTGAGGGGGAATGTGCTGCTGAGGAGGTGGTGCGGGACCCCAGGGTGTAGCTGGTGACGATTGGTAGGACGAGTAAGGGCTTTGCGGTGGCATAAGTGCGGGTGGGAAAGGCGGTCGCGGCGGTTGCATGCCGCCAACTAGTCCGCCACGTTCTTTCTGTCGAGCTTGAAGGACGACATCCGCCGCAACTGCAACTTCAAGGTCGACGTATTCATTGAAGCTGACATTTGACGATCCGGAGGAGCGATCGAACACCTGCAGGGGTATCTTGCTTCTGCTTTGTGCTGAGGAACCGAGTTTCACAACAGCTTGCACACCCTCGACTATTTGGCGCTTAACGACCGCAGCAAGTGGAGCTCGCTGGTTAAGCCAAGTTGTCGCTGCTGACAAGCCTTTTCGTCGGAAGCCGTCTTCAATCCAGTTGATGAAGCTTTGGTGCACACCTCCATCCAGAACGATTAGTTGAACATCCGGTACGTTTCGTGGGTCACGTCGTGGGAAAGGGAGACTGGCTTCATCATCAAAAGCTGCAGGCTGTGGAGTGCCATAGTTGCTGGCATACATTGGTGATCTTCTTTCATCGCGACCTACATTGCTATCTCGGTGTTCATCCCTTCGATGTCCTCGTGGCGAAGGACTTCTCCTGCTCCGGTACTCCTCTCTTCGCCTGCCAGGCTCATCTCGGAAGTCACTGTAGGATCGTCTCTGAGGAGATCTCGAACGTCGACGGTTCTGGTTCTTGTTGGTACCAGCGCCCTTCGTGTTCTTCTGTGGCTTCGAAATTTCCAAGTGGACTTTCCTGCCTCTTATCTCAATCCCCTGTTCCGCATCAAGAGCCGCCTTACAGGCTTCAGCTTCGTGGTACTGGACAAAGCCATACGCTTGCTTGATGGATATCTGGGCCAGTTTGCCATGTCGATGAAACCAATGGAATAGGTCTCGCTTAGTCACCTTCTCACTGGGGAGGTTACCCACGAACAATCGAGAGCCCACAGGAAATCTATCCCAAATGCCTTCTGTGACATATCTTCTTTCGTCTTCGAGGAATTGATCGTACATGTTCTGTGTCCTGGGTGACCACGGGCGGTCAGCAGGATCCATCTCGACTCGACCGGGTGGGGAAGGACGAGCATTTAGCTGGTTTTGCTGAGCGTACTGCATGTGCAGTGCTACTGCTTGCTCGTTGGTCATGGCGACATCGAAGAGATTGGTGGGAATTCCTTCACTGCCAATGGCAGAGCCGAGGTTGCTAGAATCGACTTCGTTAGTAGCAGGTGCATAGCCATGGGTGGCATTCTGTTGCGAGGCATCACTTTCAATGGCAGCAGAAGTGGGCTGTGATCGAAAATGTGCAGTGTGAGGAGGAGAAAAAGCATTCTGCGTTTCCAAAGGAGGTGGCTTCTTGGGCAGACCTGGAAACGACGGTAACGAGCTAACATGGGAGTTAGAAATTGAGGCTTCAGTTGTGAGAGCGGTGATGCCTTCTGCTGTGGGAGCAGTGGAAGTGGATTGCGAGATGGTATCAAGCAATGACTGATAATCTACACCTGTCTCTGACTGTGCCTCAACGTGTGCAGGTTTGCTAGTAGAACTGCCCTCGATGTTTTTGCTCCCATTCTCCTCTTGGTATGGTTGACCGTCTCTCATCGGAAGAGCGGCGCCTATCATGGTAGTATCGTTCTCATCATTCAAGCCAGCATTCATTTCGCTGGGCGCTAAGCTCTGCGCGCCATTGCTGGTGGCTGAGGCTGTCTGCGGAGTGGGTAGATAGAAACCAGCTTGATTAGTATTATGTGCGAAGGCATTAGAATTGGCGGTTGCGGTGGGCTCAGAAGCTTTCCTTTCTGCTTCGCGAAAGAAATTTTGAACAGCGTCATGCTCTTCCGACGCAGCGGGGTTTTTGTAATGTGGATGCTCTAAACTTTCGCCATAAGGAGAGAAGGTCTGGTCGCTGGGGATGTTGTAGGTATTGGTGTCATTGAAGACAGGATCCATCTGGTTGAGGAGGACAGGAATATTAGAAGGCTCTGGGACATGCACAGGTCGTGGACTTTCGGGGGTTTGTGTTCTGGCGAAGCGTTGCTGCTCGATGGGAGAGTTGTTATTACTCATGTTCGACGTTGCCAGACCTTGTTTACACTGCTCATTGGGCCAAATGAAAGAGAGGGTGGAAGTGAAGGTTGCGACGGACAACTGAGAAGGCAACAACGCTTGTGCGATACGTGCAAGATCTGCAACAGAATGAAGGATTGAAGATGCGACTTCAAGGATGATAGATGGTATTGAAATGGCGGAACTGAGGAGTAGACAAGGCTAATCGACAGGGTCGTCGATGGTGATGGGTCAAGAGAAGTTTTGCTGAGTTGCGTGCAAGAGCAATCCGTGACTAAATCCGCAGGAAGGTGGGCAGAGTCGTCGGGCATGATGTCAAAACGGCAGGTTAGCCGTCTATGCTTCGCTCGAGTGGACGGATATTCCCCAACCTTCAAGCTTCTTTTGCATTGCTTACACTACCTCATGCCGTTGTGGCTTGTCTTGACCAAATCCTTCCCGAAGGCTGTTGCCATACAGCCGGCCCATGAATGTAATCTTTTGTGGCATGCACGACGTCTATCGTCATCGCCACGCCGCTTAACTGAACCGGACTTTGAAACGGCCCGAAAATGGCATATTCAAACTGGAAGCCAGCCTGTTGCCCATAATATTGGAGAGGTCTCCTACGCCAGGTCTTCAGGACCGGGAGGTCAGAACGTCAATAAGTAATACGTGTTTTCAAGTTGCTTTACTCATGCTAACATCGTCAGGGTGAACTCCAAGGCTCAGTTGCGTGTCTCTCTGGACCAGCTTCTGCCGATGCTGCCTTCTGTTCTCCATGATGGTATCAGGCAGTCCCGCTACCACGCCGAGAAGACCAACACCCTCCTTATACAGAGTGATGAAAGTCGGAAGCAACAGGCGAACAGAGAAACCTGTTACCGCAGGTTGAATGAGCTGATCATGGACGTGTACAACAAGACTGTGCCAGGTGAAACATCTGAGGAGCAAAAGCAAAAGGTCAAAAGACTGCAGGAATTTGAGAACGAATCCAGGTTACAAATGAAGAAGAAGCACTCCAGCAAGAAGGCTGCCCGTCAGAAAGGTCGAGGTGATGACTAGATCTTCGGGACCAGTACCTGCAAGATGTTCTCTCCTCGGAACTGGTGAGCAACGGCATGAAAAGTTAACCAGTTCGGCTTTGAGATGTGCGTCTCGACGTGACAGTGGAACGTCTAGGTATGTAGCGAGCGGCGTTCGGAGACGCCAATGTTCATTCAAGATCGAAGTGCTGTCTGAGTCATCAACCCTGATGTCCCTACATCTTCGAGGCTGCCACCCGACAACTGACATTGCTTATCAGAGCTAGAAAGTTGCTCCTCTTGTGCCGGTCGACTTGAACTGAAGTAATGGTTGTTGAGAGTTTGTCTGGCTGAGGAGACTTTGAATTAGATGTATCCATGAAGTGGTACTTAAATAAGAACTTTTATTGTTTTGTGTTACCGGTCATGCTCTTAACCTGGTCAAATTTCACCAGGATGGCAGATTCACTAGTTGCCGAGGACACGGGCCATGAGATAGTGGGTGCAAGGAACTAGAAACAACCGGGTGTACTAATTAGAGTACTGTGACAATGAAGGTGATAAGTGCAGTCTGCGCTTTGCTTGGAACAAATCACAGTGTTTTCAATGTCTTCTTAGTGCATGAGAGATGGCTGGTATCCTGATCAATCGTTTCCTCTAGACTGAGGCTCGTAGCTTAGCATATAGATCGTGTCCAAATTGTCTCACCTGGGTTCAAGGTGGATATAGGGGAACTGTAGGAGCACGCGTCACTAAGTGTGAGTTAAGGGGATCATCCAGCAAACAAGAATGAGGACGACCGGATTTCTCACAGTCTGAGTGGTATCGCGCTTACACACATGATGTTGGAGTAGGCCAGATATGGACTGCATAGGATATAGTGGTTTTACTGATACTTTCACGATGCTGGAAAGAAATGCACTGCTTGGTCCACTGGCTGTATTTGCTGACAAGTTGGGGCACAAACACAAGACGAGCTGACCGAGGGAAAAGCGTTGAGAGAACTGCTCAAGGGTCGGGGAATCGGATTCTTAATGCATTCTTGCTTGCAGGGTGTGTGCAAGCGATAGAGCTGGACGATAGTTGTTTTTTGGTCTTTGGCTCCACATCCCTGTCTCGCATTTCGTCAAACGTCTGGTAGCAGTGACTCCAAATAAGGTTTATGTTCGCACGACTGATCTGACCAGTCTCAGCTGAATGAATCAGTAGTTGAAAAGAACTCTCTGCTTATGTCGATGATAGGTAACAACAAGGGCAACGTTTCATCCGCAGCCCGACGAGGAAGTGGATGCTTTCTATTTGAGGCTTGGGGCTGCGGTGAACAAAGCATTTGGCACGCTCTGATCGTTTTGACTTGTCGTACAAACGTTGGTTGGGTGATGTTTCTATATCAGCTCAGATAGTTAAACCCTTTCCGAATTGGGAAAAAGGGGCAGCCGATAAAGCAAAGTCATCCACAACGGGCGACGACGACGATGGCAATACTAACCGTTACAAGCGCTGGGCAGTGCTACCTGCCTATGTAGTTATATCTGTGTCGACCAATGAAAGGTACAGGGTATGTCCTGCAAAAGGACAAAAAGTGAAGATTTTGTTGCGACCAGTAAGCCCCACCAACCATTCGCATCATCGTATCAAAGCACACTACTTTCTTGGCACTTTCTTAATTGTCCCTGGAAGGGGTGATGAAAAGCAAGTCCAAACAGATGCTTGTGAGAGGTGGATTGCTATTACAATCATTGGGGGTGAGTGAATCCATCATGTACTCCAGCTTAAAAACCCCCAACCAAAAAAGCAGCTTGTGTCCGAAGGGGTTCGAACCCTTGAGGGCGTGAGCCCAGCAGAGATTCCTTTGATATAGGCTTAAATCTGCCGCCTTAACCACTCGGCCACAGACACACTCCGTGTGTGCGAAAATAGCACAATTATTCGCAAATTTCGGATGTGGAAGTATATATACCACGTGAATATGATGGGATGATGATGAGAGTGGGGTTAATCTGACGCTTTTTGCCCGGTGCATGTAGGCATCATGAATTGGGGTAGTTAGTCATGCTCATTTGAGCTACAGGTGCTCTGCTTCTGCGTAAGTCAGGCTGTTGCTCGGCCTTCTGGCTGGATCGTCAAATATGCAAGGTGAGCGTTACGTCGTGCATTCACTGCTGATCATGGCTACTGTTGAACAGAAGAGAGATAATCAGGCAAAGATCAGCCCTCTCCATACGGCAACATCCTTAATCTGATGTCGTTGGTGTTGGAGGACATCCTGATCAAAACAAAAGCTTCCAAACAGCCACCGAGCTCATTGCCGGTTGATTGTCGAGCATCGTGTGAACGATGTAGGCGTAAAAATTCCCGAGTCTGGCGCGGAGTAGAATTTGGTGTTGGTTTCAAAGCACTTGGTAGTTGTCCAACTCAGTCATTAAACCCCACGATTGGAATATGCTTGATAACAAATCATGCAAAAGACATTCGTCGTTTGAGCAATTCGTGTATCGCAAACGTTGCAGCCATTATCTCACCATGAATAAAGCGTTCAACGGTAAGGCGTGGTGCGCAACGAAAGCTAGAATGCCAAGCCTCGTCATTGGGGCAAATCCGAGCTTGAGATGCGGTTAGGGAAAAGAAGCGACGTGACTATCTGATCAGAAGATTCGAGGATGACTTGAGTCTGATCGCCTATTACATGCGCAAAGTTTGTTGCCACTCGAGACTATCACAAGTTTCTCATTGCGAGTATGTCAATTAAAGCTGTGATCTACAGTAGGTTCGATCCTCAGGAAGGTACGGCATGGGTTACCCCTTCCCTCAATCACGTTGACAACACAAGGGCCGAAAATCGTTCATCAGGTACCCGAAGACTCGATCTCGATCTCTGGAAGCTTAGATACATCGATCAATTTGTCTTCGGAAGTACTCCTCTCATTCTCAACGGTTTCTCGATTCCTTATACCGCGTCAGTCGCTTTGCAACAATCTGGTCTGCTTGACGTCGCCACCATCGACCCCAGATTCCTCGCCATGCATCGTCGTGTCTTATCCGGTGTGCATTAAAGGAGAACACTATCCCCGAAATGAATTCATCTTTAACTTCGCTTTGGTTCTGTCACCACCTGACACTACAGATGTGCCAAGCTACAAATCAGTTGTGACGAAGTTAGCACATCTTATGCGTGGTTTGGAAGAACAAACGAGGTTTCTGTCAGATGACGTATCCCCCCCTGGAACAGGCAAGATATACAGCCTTTGCGAAACATTGATAGAGGACCTAAACAATTATGCCGAGTGCATGATACCCATCGACGAAGTCAATACCCTTAACATCAAGTTGTTCCCGACACTACCGAATCCTGCCCCTGTGAAAGCATGGCATGTACCACTGTTCACTGTTCGCATCGAAAGTCTCATGGACGAGAACTGGGACTTGACCATGCAAAGAGTCATTCCATTTATCAATGGTGTTAACAGCGTGAAAAAGATTGCTCTCCTGGCCGACGCCGACCTCAAACTTACCAAGAGCTGTGTTCGACATCTCCTGTATTATGGTTGCGTCTTGCTACTTGACATCTTCAGCTTCAATGCGATATATGCGCCGACCTCGGAGTTCACCAGCATGATAGCAAGTGACTCAGAGATGCAAGCAGAATGCGCACGATATGTCAATACCGCCTTTGAGCCTGCACGGCAAGAAAACGCAATCAGTACTCTGGATGTCTCCAGCTCATTGAAGAGCAGCATAGCAGCAACGACCACCGCTACAGTTGATGATGACTTCTGGCCGCTAACTGCGTGTGGCGATGTGATTGACGGCGTTGGTGTTGTCCAGCTCTTTGCTAATTTGAGGCAAGGTCTTACTGTTCGTGACTGGTACAAGTCGAACAGCAATATGCTTGCTAACATTGATCTGCGCCGCTTCATCACATTCGGCGTTATCAAAGGCTTTCTGTATAGGGTTCATCGTTATGCCATCCAAACGAATGGTTTAAAGGTTGATTCGAGAAACGAAGCGCGTAGCAGAAGCGCAGGTGTATCGTTAGGTAAACAGACAATCGACCGAGAGAACAAGGGCTCCAAGAACAGAAAAACGATGCCACTTACCTCCTTCTTGGACGGTACACATTCGTTCGACGAAGTTTGCACCTATTATGGAATCAGCGAGAAAGAACTTCTACGAAGACTGAGCCAAACACACCTTGGAGAGGTGGTTGTGCTTTGCCGTTGATGCCCTTTGGCCAACCAGATCCCGTCCTATTTCGATGTTGAGCAATGCTAGCTCTCAAGTATGGGGCACATTGAGACCGAAGGGATATATGGTCCTATCTCAGCATGTGCGACCGTAGATATTCACGCCACAATGCACTGCGGCTCACAAGACCTTGCTAAATAGCACGACAGGATAACGGCCACTGTATTGATGTTGTTGTGACAGTCGGTCATACTGTCGCTGCAGGAGACATTGTCAAGGTAGCTGTTATTGACTCTCAATAAACGTCAAGAGTGCAATTTTGGAATGTCGAGCCTCTAACCGGTGGTGTCTAGTTTTTGGGTCCTTCCGCTGGGAATGAACGAAGCGTGCCGATTCGTTGGGCAATCACTAATATCTGGTCTACTAGACCCAACAGGGTCCAACTCCGATACCTCACATACGAAGAAACTACCATATATAGCTGTTACAGTATTCAAACCTGGGCAGCGTTCCGCGAATCAAAGACCATTTCCCTAGCTCGCTTCATACAATTCGTCATAGAGGACACTGCAGACACTACCAGTCAGTGTTCAGAATCCGCGACTCAAAGCTCTAGGGTGTTTTGACAAAGAAGACTCGTTGAATGCAAGGCTGACTTGAAACCATGTCACATCAAGCGAACTCAGCTCATGCAGAGTACATACTTCTCGACGTTATCAAACATTAGTGGGGCACTAATGCGCTTGTGGCGCAGTACAGCGGTTACCACACTGAGTAAGCGTGCACCTCCACACATGCACAGCCACAGCGTTGCGGAAATCGTACATCTTCCCGCGGGCACTTGTTCGTCGCGCCTAATCTTTATGATTAAAGCTCTATTACATTCTCTTGGCCGGGCTAGTGCAGCCTTCATGCCTGATACGGCCTCTGTTTAGCCCGACAGACCCATGGCATTAAGCCATCAGCCTCAGCTACCAAATGGTTGCTTTGGCCCCAAGGATATACCTACCGTGGGGCTCGCTGCACAAACGACTTCAGTTCTTGGATTTGTACTAAACAAAGAGTGTCGGTGATATTGCAATACATCCGGTGATATTTTGAACACTATATACAGTCATGTCGGTTACAATACTCATCACAACAGACCGATGTCTATCAACTCAACTGTGTACCTCCAAATCACAGAGTCGAAGAGTCAAACGATCAATGGCATCTCGAAGACTAGAAGCAACAGACGGTGCGCCTTCGGCAGGGCAGAACTCAAGAGTGAAGAGATTCCATTCAAAGAGTCGAAATGGGTGCTTTACTTGCAGGTAAGTGCCATCAGAAAGTTTATTCGAGATACCTACTAACGTTGGGATAGGCAAAGAAGAGTGAAGTGTGATGAGCAACGTAATCCTAACTGCGCCCGTTGTGAGAGGGGAGGATATGTTTGCGAGTGGCAAGACACACAACGAAGTAGATCTCGCTTCTCAGATGAGAGATTGAGCCTGCGGACAGCACGGTCGCGATCACAAACGACCATTCAGTCGGACGATGAGAGCAACTTGTCTCACCGATTCTTCTCTGAAAGCATTGTCGTCGGTGTTGCGGGCCTGTTCACTGACATGGCTGAGTCCTTCCTTGGAAACTCTGCTCGAGCCGCCGACGTGTCTGGACGCATATCCAAGTTCTACTATCAATTCGTGTTCCAAGCAGGCCGGTCGAGTCCTATTGTACACAAAACTCTGACTGCCCTTTGCGGTCTTTACGAACGAACCTTCGCGTCAAGCGTCAGCTCCTCACCAAGGAATCCAGAGTACATTGCATACTACAGTGAAGCTGTAACTGACCTAAGATACATGTCCAGAGAACTTCCTCCTGATATTGTACTCATCATTAGCATCCTCTTTGCTAATTGTGAGTACCTCATTGGCGGTTTGTGCTCCGCTATACAGCACCTTCAAGCTGGAGCAAGGATCTTGAACGAACATACGATAATCAGCGACGGTAGATTATCGCCAGATCTTTGCGACACACTGAGAACGATCTTTGAAGCTTTCAATCATGACTCCATACGGTCGGACAGCCTTTCTTCAGAGCAACATGTCTTCGATGTCTTTGGCGGGACACAATTTGAAGACCTAGACCAGGCCAATGACAGTTTATTACTACTGTACTCACATACCTTTGCTCTTCGAAGAGTCAGCAGCAAGCATCCACGTCATATCACTCCTGCGATTCATGATTTTCAACTTTGGTCGAGTTCGTGGATGAATCGAACTTCAAAACTTGAGCAAACACTTGCTTACGACGACCGGCCTTGGCTACATCTCTTGCACGGACAACATCAGGCATTAGATACAGTGATTGATCATATGCCAAGCTCGAACGATGGTTTCCCGCAAGAGAACCATCAATTCGACGACCTAATTCTTTGCATGTCCTCATTCATTGACATGTGTCCCCAATTCGCAAGTTTAAAACCCACATCGGAACGACCGTTCTTGGACAACATCGGACTGATTCTACCGCTGTTCGTCGTTACTTTACTCTGTCCGGACCTTCAGACTTGTCAAACAGCTCTTTTGCTTTTGCGACGATTGAAAGTTCAAGAAGGTGTGTGGAACAGCTGTTGCGCCTATGCAGTTGCGCATTTTATCGTAAATGCCAGACACAAAGCACAGTTGAACAGCGGCAATACAACCGACCCATTCATCGATGCGCTCCCAATA